CAAGCACTCTACTACTGAGTGACTGTACATTCCTAGTTCACATCTTTTAACTGAGGAATTTAACCCATTTATTTTTGAAGTTATTACTGATGGGTAAGGACTTACCCTTGGCACTTTGTTAATTGCTTAATGGTTGTTTTGTTGTTTTGTAAATCCCATTTTCTTTCTTTTTTAAATGTACCTTTGTAATCTTTTGTCGTGCTATGCTTTGGTTCCTTTTTCATTTTCATTTGTGGTTCTCTTGTTAATTGTGTGTGTTTCTATCAGGTTATTATGGATTAATATAAAGAATTTTGTAGTTGTAATAGACTATTTTTAGCTGGTAACAACTCTGATCGCTTACAAATAGTCTTGCCCTCTCCTTAAAATTTATAACTTTGTTGCCTTAATTTATACTTCTATGTTTTATATTTCTTTGTAACTTAGTCTAGCCACAGGACTTCTTGACTATGCTGAGTTTTAACTTTCATGCTAGGGATCTGAAAGTTTATATGCCGTCATTACAGTAATGGCCTACTTTTAATTTGATGATACATGTATTTCTGCCAGGGACTTATTATTTCACTTCCAGTTGCAGTACTCTCTTAAACATGTCTTGTAGGGCTGGTTTCGTGATGACAAATTATCTCAGCTTCTGCTTGTCTGGGAAAGACCATTTCTCCTTTGTTTCTTTAGGATAGCATTGTAGGGCATAGTATTCTTGGCTGGCAGATTTTTAGTTCAGTGTTTTGAACATATTATCCCATTTGGTCCTGAACTCCCAAGTTTTACCTGGGAAATGTTGATAGTCTAAGGGGAAATATTTCATGTGATTCAGCGCATTTCTTTTGCTCCTTCTTGAATTGTTGGCCTTGCCTTTGTCGTTTAATAATTTGATTATAAATGTGCTGTGGAGAGGATCATTTTGGATTCAATCTGCTGAGTGACCTTGGAACTTCCTGAATCTAGATATTCATCTCTCTTCTAAGATTTGGGAATTTTTCAGCTATTATTTCGTTAAATAGTATTCTGTGCTTTTCTCTTTCCTTTCTTCCTCTTGGGATTCTGTAATATAATACTTTTTCACTTGATGGTCTCTTGTTACTTCGATAGCCTTTCTTGATTTACTCTTTTTCTTTTTGTCCCTCTGATTGCTCCAAAGGACTTGTTTTCAAATTTAGAAATTCCTTCTTCTGCTTGATCTATTCTTAAGACTCTACGTTATTTTTTTTCATTGTTTACTAGTACTTTTTAGGTATACAGTACAGTTACATTCATCATTGGGATCTTGTACGTATTACATTATATTTTTAATTTCATTGAATTGTTCAGCTCCAATTTCTGTTAGGCTCTTTTTTCATATTTATGTCTTTATTGAATCTCTAGTTCAGGTCATGAGTTTGTTTTTCTAGTTTCACTGAATTATCTTTCTGTACTCTCTTGTGCCTCACTTAGTTTCTTTCAGATCATTATCTCGGATTCTTTATGCAGTTCACACATTTTCTTCGTGATCAGTTACTGGAGAATTCTTTTTTATAGGAAACCTAGATTTATTTGTTAAGCTATTAAAAAGACAAAACAATTATTGTCAGGAGTACTTTAAGGACCTTATCCCAGTTCACTTGTTCTGTTATAGAAAACTAACCTATAGAAGGCAGAAATTAAAGGATATAACCTAAGAGGCTATAACAAAGCAGACTGAAAAAACAGGGTGCAAAGGACAGAAACTACCCAAAAACACTTTTTTTTCTTTTTTTTTTTTGTACCAGGGATTGAACTCGGGTCCTTGCGCTTGCAAGGCAGGCCACAAAACCGCTGAGCTAAATCCCTGGCCCTAAGAAACACTTTTTTAATGGAAGGATTTACAATTGGGATGTTTCCCAAGAGACCACCTAGACAGGTCTGAATTAATCTGGGCCCAAAATCAGTGAGACTCTTGCCCCTTTGGAGAATGACAGAGACTGATACTTTTAAGACCTCTGCCTTTTCTCTTAGGGATAAGGGTATCCCTAGGCCACAAAGAACTGCCCACCCATCTTAACTTTTGTCTATTTCCTGCCCAATTCTTGTGCATTTTCACCAAACTGGCCTGCTAGTGTAGACAACACATACAGCAAAGGCAGGAATTACAGACCTAGTTGGCAGGTACAGTTTTAGGGTAAATGATAAATTACAAATACACCTTGGTTAAGCTAATTCACCTTTGGTAATAAAGGTCATAGATTCTTCTGGTGACAATTTGCTGTCTCAGTATAGTTTATCTGGAGGAATAACTGGTTTAAGTGAGTTTTGGAGAAGGAAAAAGACTTCCATCAACCTTTCTTTAGAGGGAAGAGGCACCAAGTTCTCTCCTACAGTTATGAGCAGAACCTTAAAGCAACATAAATCATTTTCAGTGATCAACATCTGCATCTTCAAACTGTCCCGCAACTGCTGGTGTAGTATCTACTTCCATGCCGCCTTCATAATCTCTTATTGAATCTCCTGTCCGTACCCCAGCCATGTTACACTGGCTGCTCACAGACTGGGAAAGCATTCCTTCTAGTCTCTCCAATGTGGCTTGCCCTTCTGCTGTTAAATGGGATAATCCTTCTTCATAAGTATAAAATGTGGGGATATCCCCCTGTCCTTGTTCATGCGCTTCCACATCATATTCTTCTCCATCATAATCATCTGAGTCTTCATTCTCAGGATCTGGGTGCAAAGCCTGGCACTCACACATTGCAGTGAACATCGCCTCCAATGCTGATTTATCACAAGGCACAAATCTAAATTCAGTAATAGGTTCAGTATCATCATCACTGTCTTCCTCTTCTTCATCATCAGGAGATTCTTTTATTTCTCCTCCAAATTTAGCATTCACCATAACATACAAATGTTATTTAGGTCCCTGGAAACAGCATGTAAACAGCATGTAAAATGGTGGGGTTTTCCAGTGAGAATCCTAATCCGGAACCATCTAACCAGGACAGGCGGCTCTCCGCGATGTAAAGGCTGCCAATGCCGAGGCTTTTCCCGTTCAGCACAGCCTCCGTATCTGCTGCTGGTGCCGGAGCCCCTCTGCTGGCCCCAGCGGCGGAAAACTTTTGAGGAAGCTCATTGCACCTGGGAGCATCGAAACACAAGTTCGCAAGGAGCCGAAACACTGGAATTGCCCAGTTACTGGAGAATTCTTGTGTTCATTCGGCATCACGTTTTCTTGCTGTTTCATGTTTCTTGTATCCCTAAATTGATATCTGTGCATCTGGTAGATGAGTTGTCTCTTCCAGTTTTATGGAGTAGCTTTTATAGAGAAAGACTTCCTCTGGCAGACGGGTTCTTGGGTGTCTTCTGGGGAGGGTGCATTGGCTTTGGTTCTAGGTGGATGCAGCAGTGTAGTCTCTGTGCAGTTCTGCTATGATTAATGTGAGGGAAGCCTAGGAGTGCTTCAGTGTCCTGCACTGCAGAAATCTGTAGTGGTCACAAGGAAGCATCATCGGTTGAACACTAGGCTGGTTCTCAAGCGAAGGGGCTGTGTTTAGCTGGGTGGCCTGCAGATCAGGTCCACCTCCTGCTGTGCAAGGTGTCCATCCGGTTCAGGGGTCAAGGACACAGGTGTCCCACTGTTCCTAGACTTAAGCAGTTTCATGACACTGCATTCACTCACATGATGAAGGATGGAGAGATGCAGTGTCTTCTGGCCCTCCCAGGTCAAGACACACTAGCAGTGGCTCTGGTTTCAGGTATTACGGTGGCAGTGGCGGCAGCAGTGTGTGTGTGGGGGGGG